ATTACTTCCATTTTCATTCAAAACCTATAAAAAAAATAAATAATATAGACAAACTTAAAACGAGACTGCCGATAAAATACGCGGAACTCGAAAAATTAGATTACTTAGTTATTAAACGTTCATCATTGAATAAATTGTAAAGGCAACAATTTGCAATCGATTGAAAACGCTACATAAAATCATAGAGTCGCTTTGTTCGGAGTTTGTTGACAAATGACCGAGGCTCAACAAAAAAGATAAAACAGTCATGGACAAAAATACGAAAATTAATATCTTATCGTTATTCATGGCCTTATATGACTATTCACCTAAGGTGGAATTAACAAGACCAGCTTCACTGTTGTAAATTCGAATCTCGTACGTTTAATGATCACACGTCCGACTACTCTGATTCACAAGGCCCGTCTACAAGTACTTGGTACTTGACAGTATTAGTTGTCGCCGCCTGGATTATTTAGGCCGCCAGGGTTCGACGATCGACGTACCGTAACCAAGACCTTTTAGCTTTTGCAGCTAATGCCAGTGCTACCAAAAATGTAATTCTGAGTATCGGGACGATGATGATTATTGTAGGACTGCTGACCGAATGTATTATTTATTACAAACAAAACGATCGATTTTGGGTCGTATTTTGTGGAGTTTTTTTGTACGAGTGTGGTGAGGGGTGGGGTCAAACCACCCTCAACCAAAACTTTAAAGTAAAAAAAATATATGTATAAAAGTATAAAACTCAATTAATTGTAACGATATATCTTGTACTTTATAATATGATTAATATAACGAATTGTGGTTCATGACCGAAATTTATATTTTTATATATATATCTACTATAATATAATTTTCTTCTACTGGGTGTATCTTGCGTCGTTGTTCGCGTGGTTCATTAACGAAAATGGATAGATAATATAAAATTTAAATACACAGTTGTATCAACATTCAACAGTTATATAAATTATATTTTTTAAATGGTATAATTATTAATTGTAGTTTTCTAGTTTATCAAGTACGGATGGTCTTTTAAAGTTAAATAAATTCATTAATAGTTTTATTAAAAATAAATTAAATTTATTAGAGTTCAATTATGTTTTTAACTATTTTTCATACAATTCAATATCTATTCATATTTAATCGATAATTTAATGACTCTCTTACACACACGTTATTTTTATTTTAACATACAAATACTTGTACAATTATAATTTATTAATTTACTTGTTTTGTGATTGTATGTTCAATTTAAAATAATGAACTATTTTGTAGGCATTTGTTTCGAAATTAAATATATTTGTGTGTGTATGAGTTTACATAATTAGATGACTGATTTAAATTTATCAAATTATATTTAACTTTTGTAAATTTAATTTATTCTAATTGTTTTTATCAATACAATTCTAAATTTACTTAACTTTAAAAATTGTAGTTAATTTATTAGCAAACCAAAATTGATATTTCATCATAAAACTTTAAAAAAAAAAGTTGTACCAGGATCTTTAAAAATAAAGATACGTATAGGTACTTGTACCATTTTTAGTTGTTTATTTTTTATTAATAAAAAATAAAAAAAACCTTATTTTAAGATGATCATATTAACAGAACAACATTATAAATACACGTTTCAAAATCAATTGTGATGTATTTTTAAATATTTTTTTTAGTACTATATTAACATTTTCAATAGCTTTTTCTTTTATATGCTGTATTTGTCACTTGCTTGACTGAATATTCATTTTAATTATGGTATGACCAGTCTTATAAAAGATACTTTTTAAAGTATTTATATACAAATACATTTAGATACTTGTTTTGAAAATTATTTAAAATACTCGAATAAAATTTAAGTATAAATATAAATATTTTAAGATAAGATTTCTAGATAATTTCAAAAACTTTCAAAATTTTTAAATAACATGTTTTTGTATCTTATAAATCAATGAAATAGTTTAAAGCATTTTCGTGTACTTACATTAATTTTATAGATAATTTCACGTAATTATTTTTCTAACGTTATTAAAAATAAAAAAATGCATTTACCCTGTGGATTTAACCTACATTAACGGAGGAGCGGATTATAGGTAAGTAGGTATAATATATGTGTATTTACAGTCGTTGAATAGGTAACGAACTGTCGATCGCTGCAACTAGTTTGTGCAAATTCAAAATTTTTTACCTGAAAACGGATCACTCGTTTGCGTACAAAGACATATTCACACACCTATATAAATTGTCACAAACTGCAGTACACATTGTCAAATATTTAATAGCAATATAATCTTATGATCGATTATGTAAATTATATCATTATGGATTTCCCGTATCTAACTACTTTTTGTACAGTTTAGTGGTCATTAACTCGTAGAAATGTCTAATATTTTTAAAACTCGGCGAGGAATTGAGAAGGAAAATGTGTGCGCAAACGAGATATAACATTCGGGATTTTCGTTACAGGTAGTCAAAATGTATATGCGCAATGGAATCGAGTTTTTTTTTGCGCAAACGAGTTGTAAAAAAGGTAAATGTGCGCAAACAAGTAGTAGCCTTGTTGACAGCACTATATTATCTATTCTATGATCGACAGTTAACACAATAAAATTACTGTTATGCGGTTTCCACGAACTGATGAGCAATAAATATAGATATATTTCAGACATATATGGAAAATATTTTTTAGGATAAAACCCTATGAATCGCTACGTGTCGGCTGGCAGTTGAAGATTAGTCATTACTAAGATGATTAAAATAATAATTTTGTTAACAACAATTTATTAATTGATGTTATAAAAATAAAAGACGAAGATTTATGATTTTGAATATTATAATAATATATTAACATAGGATAATACAAACTGTTGCAATTTGATGTACATCAAATTAAATAACACATTTTAATACAACCGACGGAAGGGGTTATCATAATTTAGGATTGATAAATGAATATGAAAGTGATTCTAAATTTAGAAAATATCATAAATTTTTTTAAGTTTGCACCCAGAATTCTACACTCAGAAGATTTAATGAATATCCAATAGAGCGATGATCGAATTCGATAATTTACAGATTATATTTTGATAATTATATTAATAAACAATTAACATTTCCACCAATAATTTGGTCAAAGTTTAAAGCATCGACAACGAAATCCACATATTCTTGCTAGACGTTTCATTCGCACTTTAATTAATGTTTTACACAACACTTCCAAATATTTACCCAGTTCTTAGAAGTTTTAAAAAACTTACAAACTGACATATATATTAAAATGACGAGCACAAATATAATAAAAAAAGAAACTACATTTTGTTTAAAGAAAAATTTACAAACGATAAAATAAATGAAAAAAATATAGGAATAATTATTTGATTTGATTTTGTGAAATTAATGTCTTTTTTATATTTTTACTAATATTATACAAAATCTATCTTTTTATTTGATTTATGATATTTTTTCTTTATGTAGTACCTGAAAAAATCTCGGACCCAACTAGCATAGAAATTTTTAATTAGGGACTCAACTCGGTTATAGCTGAATCTGTGCCTGCCTAATTACAAATATTATCTCTTATATTTGATTTATTCACATAGTAGATATTTTTATCACATTATTCTTATTTAAAACTTATTTGATACTATATAAAAGTTTATTATAAATTAATATACAATAGTCATGCTCAAGAAAAAATGTAGAATATTTTTAATATTCTTTCATAAATATTAACTAAAATTAATCTACCTGATAGTTTAGTGCTATAACAATAAATTCAGTTAATAAAAACTTAAATTTAACTTTTTTTATGAAAGAACAAAATAATATAAATTAACAAAGATTGATGAAAAACAATTAGTTCTATTATCAGGTATTTTAAATTGACTAAAATATTCTTAACTATATAATAATTAGAAATTAAGAATAATGGTTTAAGTTATTCATTAGATTTACATTTTAATTCTTATATGCTTTAATTTGTGAATTAATAAAAATAATTTAATGAGTTTATTTTATCCAATTGTACCTTTAACAATAATTTCTTTAAATGTTATATGTACTTGATTCCAGTGATGGGAAAGAACTCGTTAATATGAAGACTTATCATTTGAACGTGAACTAAATTCTTATTTATTATGATCTTGAAAGTTTTGGGTTTGCTCATTAACAATTTAATTTTCATGGAACATAGTTATATTATACTAATATTTATATGTTTAATAGGTACTCCTTATCATCATCATGGCCATAGCCTATAGTCGCCTATAAATAACACAAAAATATAAGTAAACCCATACACCTTTTACTTATTATAACGATTATGGACTAACAACACATAAATGGTTATTTTTATTTTCACATATTATTAATTATTAGTGCACCGGTCAAGAGATTATTTAGTCCAGGAGAAAACATAATGACTGTTAAAAGACATTGACTTTCAGATAAAACTTTTTAAAATCTTGTTTTGCTAAAACAAAATAATAAAATAATGATCTGAAGGCTATAAACTAATTTTAAACTAGTAATTTAAAGTTTGAATTTTAAAATTAAAATGTTTGCCATAAACCATATTCAGGGCCGGCGTTAGGGGGGGTTATAGGGGGGATGTCACACCCCCCCCACTCGGCAAATTTGGTTGTATCGAGTCGGCACAATTATAATTAAAGTAGCAGTCGTCAAATTGTTTTTCGTAAAATGAAAAATACAAAAACATGTCGATGTAAATAATTTATCATTTATCGTATTTTCGTATCTATGAAGATAAGGGACTATCGACTGAAATATGAAATTAGGAATTACCATTGAACATTTAAATGTCCATGTGTTGTTGTGAATAGTATACAAATATATTTATTAATAGGTTGTGTGTACATTATTGTACATTGCTTATCATTTTACTAATCGCTCGGGCCCGACGCATAGACGTACAGTACAAAACATTTTATTATTGTGGTGAACCATTTCCTAGCTATTCTAATATAAAGTACCAATTTCTAAATTAGCTAATTTATTTTATAATGAGTGATTTTGAAAAAGAAAAACGCAAAAGGAAGAGGATAAAACTTGAGTGCTTGTCTTGTGGTAGTACATTTGATGACGACTACCGTCAAAAGCACGAAAAACAAGTGCACAACGGAGCAAAGGTTAAGGTGAAACACCATGGAGCAGCAGATAATCCGTTCGTATATGCTCGGTTGAATTTCGAACGAAAGGTATGTTAATTATGCGATATCTGAAAATAATATTAGAGTAGAATAGTGTTTGTACATTATTGATACGTATTTATGAAACTAGGTAGGTAGATACCATTATTTCATTTATATTTATCGTCATACCTATCCTTATAAAGGTTTATATTCTATTTCTTTTTTTAATAAAATTTAGTTTGAAATAATATTAAATGTGTATTAAAAATAGCGGATCTAATAAAATATTATACTAAATAGGTTAGGTTAGGTTAGGTATCTGTATAAATGTAGCAGTGATTTATACTTTGATTTTCTAGTGTTTGTACTACTTACCTAATAATAATTTTTTTTTTAACATTTAATAAAATATATACATACAATCTGTAAAACAGTTTACAATAAGCATACGAATATAGTAATATATGTAATATAGTAAATATGGGCTTGAATGCTTGAGGCAAGTTAAATGATTAAAATTGTATACGTAAAATTAATTCACACACGCATCTGACGCATCATGTATAATATGTATATTGTACGTATTTACTTATTATACATGTTTATTTATTTATTGTTATGGTACATTTACAACTCATACTTATAAACTAATTAGTAAAAACTATAAATAAAATTAAATAATCTATTGTTATAGAAAAATGAAAATAATACAGACATAAGTCCAAAAACATCGGAAAATGAAGTTGGTCAACTATTATCTGAATCGTTTGATGTAGATAAAAATAAAATCGATTTTGACTCAAGTTTAAAATATGACAAATTAGAATTACTTCCTGCTCAGTTGGACAAATGTAGTGAATATATAAAATCATCTATTGAGGATACAGATCATGAAATATTATTAGCCAAAGTGCAAAAAAACTGATATTTTTGATAATTTAACGTGTTTTTCGGAAAAAAAAGACGATACGAGTGATACAACTAAAGATGAAACGTGGGTTACTTGTGTAGGAATTTTCGAGTCATTACTCTGTTATCTGAAGGTCTGCACTGATCTATTGAACAAAATTAAAAATGATACAGTTCCTAATCCTATAGGTTTTTTAGTTGAAAGTGTTGACATTATTTCTTTATTTAAAACGAAAGCAACAGAATATATTAATTATGCAACAAATGTATTAGCTAAAGAACTTCCTTCTGAACAGCCTGAACCCAATTTATCTACATTACCACAAGATAATATTATTGATAATTTATTAGACCACGATCCCGGAAAACGAGGAAAGATTGAATCAAGTTCTCAAAGAAATTACTTATTGAGTTTAGGACCTTTTCAACCAAAATTGGTAAAATTCCCCATTAATATTGATATTTCTGAAAGTAAACAAAGACAATTTTGTTCAAATTGGTATAAAGAGTATCCATACTTAGAATATAGTATATTTAATGATTCGGCTTATTGTTATATTTGTGGTTTATTTCCAAGTGGGCCTAATCGATCATTTGCTGATCCTGTGTGGTCAACAACTGGAATAAGACATTGGCATAAAATGAAATCTCGCGGAACAAAAAAGCTGGGAAAGCTTGAACAACATTTTACTTCGAATGCTCATAAAGCTGCATTAAGCGACTATAGTAATTTTGTTTTGCATTCTAACCACATAGACAATTTGTTAAATAAAAAACACCGAGAAAACGCTATACATTTTTCAAAGCAAAAAGAATATCATAAGGCTGTAATAAGAATTTTATTTGACGTATCCCGTACACTAGCTAGACAAGGACTAGCTTTTAGAGGCGATGGTGACGAAAAAAATGGAAATTTTTATCAGATTGTTTTGCTCATATCACGTCACAATTCAACTATGAAAACATGGTTAAATGACTCTTCTTTTCGACGATACCACTCAACCTATTTAAGTCATGACTCTCAGAATGAATTTATACATTTATTAGCTAAAGAAACAAAAAATAACATAATTGAAGAAGTTAAAGAAGCTGGCATGTATTCAATCATGGCTGATACAACGCCTGATTTATCACATAAAGATCAATTAAGTGTCTGCTTACGTTATGTTAACTCGAAAGCTGAAGTTTGTGAACGTTTGATTGCTATTGATGAAATTGTCGATAAAACTGGAAAAGGTATAGCAAGTAAAATATCTGATGTTTTGTCCCAAAATTCACTTGATTTGAATAACATTGCGTTCCAGTCGTACGATTTTGCAAGTAGCATGTCCGGTAAAAATCTAGGTACACAAGCTATGCTATCAAGAATCGTTGGACACAACATACCTTTCATACCTTGTCAAGCACATCGTACAAATACATTTATTGAACATAGTTGTTCTGCTAGCACCACAATTAGTCATTTTTTTTCAGTATTAGAAAGTCTATATGTCTTTTTTACTTCAAGTACTAAGCGTTATTTTTATTTAAACAATAAATTATTGGAAGTAGATATCAAATTAAAGTTACGTAATTTATCGATGACACGGTGGACAGCACGTGCTGAATCGATTAAGGCTGTTTGGGTTTTATTTGAATATATACTAGACGTATTGAAAGAATTAATTAATGATACAAACATTGACAATAAAACACGAGCTCAAGCATTAGGTCTCGAAAAAAAAATGTTATCATTTGATTTTATAGTATGTATTTATTTAATGAAACATATTATGTATCAAATGAAAGTTTTAACCGAACAACTCGAAACTGAAAACTTAAATATTATCGACGCTATTATGTTAATAGAATCTTGCATAAAATCCTTAAAAGAAATAAATGAAGATGAGTCTCAAATTAATAATATTATAACTAGTGCTGAAATATTTGCTAAAAAACTTGACGTTGATTCTAATGCAGATTTTAATAAGTTTCACAGACAACGAAATTTACCAAAAAAAATTGACTGTAATTCTTCTACACAAGCAATATTTAATTTACAAACATTTTATAGAAAAGAATTTAAAGAGGTATTGGACATGTTAATTAATGAATCTGCTAATAATTTAAGAGATTGTTTTAAAATAGTTGAACCAATATTTAAAATATTAAGTATACCAATAAAAAGTGATATTAGAACTGAAGATGTCGAAAAAGCTTGTGGATTATTTCCACCTTCATATGAAGCTTCATTGGTTACTGACTACGATGCTATATTATGTCAAATAAACATACTTCGTCATAAAACGGAACATGAAAATACATTGGAGAAGGTTTTGAATGTTTCTGAATCTTTGAAAGCTCTTGTTCCTGTAGCAAATTCACTATGTCGATTAAGTTTTACAGCCCCCGTGACAACAGCCTCTAACGAACGTTCGTTTAGTAAACTAAAAATTATTAAAAACCACCTTCGTACAACAATGGCAGCAAATAGACTTGATGACCTCATGATTTTAAACTCGGCCAAAGATATCGTTGATAACTTAAATTTGGAAGATCTTATAGTCAATTGGGCTGCATTAAAAGAACGTAGAATCAAAATTTAATTTTTTTTATATATCTATAGAAATGTAAACTATAAATTTAAATACGTTTGTTAGTTACTTACAAATTATAATTTTAATAGGATGTTTTTGTAAACTAGGAAAGTTTCTCTTAAATAAATTTAATTTTGTTTTTATTTGTCATAAACTGAAAAAGTATTTTAAAAAAAAATAACTTATTTTATAATCTTATTTATTATTAGTTATTTACACATAACAATGTATTTACAAAAAGGTCTCATTAAATTCAGAGAGGTAAAATAAATATTGAAGTCGGCATTTTATTATTTTGACACCCCCCCCATGAATAATTGTTCGCGCCGGCCCTGACCATATTATTATCTTATCAAACATTATTTTTAATTTCATTGCTATATTATATTTGAAATTTGTTTGAGTAATGTGTTAAATTAATAATTATTTTATTGCAATTTTATATTCACTTTTACCAGCATAAAAGTATTATTTTTTATTAATTATTTCTAAAATAAATAATTTAATAATAATAATATAATATATTTTTTATTATTAACAATTTTTATTTTTTAACATATTTTATTTAGTAACTTTTTTATTCTTGATAATGATAATGATATAAGCTAGTTTTTAGTTTATATATAATGTATAACTAATTCAAGTATGAACTGAAATTTGAATTATTTCATATTTAATGCCTTGAACGACTTGAACTTGAACAAGTACCTTTTTATTAAGAACTTTCCTATCACTACTTGATTCTATTAAAGTATGAAATTAATAAGCTTTAGTTTTGAAGTATCCTGATGTAAAATATAGTTTTCAACGTTTAATTATAATTTAACAATTGTAAATATTATAATTGTTCCAATAATTCTAGTTGACAATATTATGTATGAATTTTAGTTAACATGCTAATTAAAATATGTAATTGCTATTATAATTAATTACTATTTTATCTATGTTAATAAAAATAATTTTATTACAGGAAAAATGTGTACAACTTTCTGATTCTTTGAGAAGATGCAAAAAAGAACTTCTGTTAGAAAACAAATAACAGTATATTTTTTCTCTTTCCAAGAAATCTTTTTTGGAAAAACTTAAACAGAAAAAATGATATGAGTTAAATGAGCAAAGAAAACAATATTAAAGTTACACATGTGTTACTCAAAAAACTGGATGTTGTTATACTTATTTTTAAAAATTTGATGTATAAATACAACACTATTGAATTAATAGTTAATATTATATTAATAAATTTATTTTTAAATTAACTATTTTTACAGTTTACCATCATGATATAAATTTATAAAGAATCATAAGTTCTTATCTTTACTATGTGCAGATACAACAAGCATTTATTGGCAATTAAAGGAAAATCTAGCTTTGACAATAGTTTTATTATGTTACTAAAAAAAATAAACATAAAACTATTTTTATAAAAAAAGTAATATTACTACTATATGAACTATTTTTAAGTGCAAACTTATCTTGGCTACTTTAGTTTAGGAGATTCTAGAAATTGATTTGGCAGAAAAATTAAAAGTTTTGAATTAGCTGATCATAGACTTGTATAATAACAAGTAGTTATTAGAACTTAATAATCTTTGGAAAATGAAAATTGAATATGTCATACACGTAAGCATAATGAATCTTTTGTTATATTATAATTGGTCTAATTAAAAAATTATAAAATTAAAATTATTTAGTTTTGAAACAAATTATTATAGTTTGATGTTAAGTAATTCAATGGTAGTGGAGTTACAGTTTTACTGAGAACAAAATTTTAAAGGTCTGAAAGATTAGATAGAGACAAAATTGTTTACTTTGCAAATAAATTGAGGTTTATTATGTGTTTTAAAGCTGTTGTGATTGTGTGATAACATTTTTTGCAGGATATTATATGTAGTTCATTTTATATTATGTAATTTATTGTTTGTAAATTATTTATACTTGCTTATTATTAGGGACCGGATTTATATGCAAATGCATATTTGTATTGGGATAAGCTTTTTGAAATCTGATGAAAACTGTCCCCCATTTAGATCACTCTTATTAAAATAACACTAATTTTATTTTGCATATTTTGCATATTTCAACGTTTTTACCTATTAAATGCATATTGAATGCATATTTGTAGTTTTAAAGTGTATATTATTATTTATAACACATATATTCGTTTTTCGTCGTATTTTCACGTTCACAGCCACATAATATCAATAAAATTGACACCGGTCGTTATTTCCAAAGAGTCTATGTGAAAACCGCAAAAATAAAACAGTGAAAACACTAATAGCGAAAAGTAAGAAAACCTATACGTATATACTTACAGATAATCAGAGGAATTTAATGTTTGAACACATTAAGGAACTTCTGATCATCCAATGCAATAAGGTAAAATATGAAATCAATTTTTGTTTCAATTTTTATTAATGTGAGTTAATACTTTATAGATTGAAGATGCAGAATGTTAAATGGCAACGAAGACTTTATAAGCTTTTTTTATACTTTTTTAATACCATATTAATTAATAAATATTGTTACATAATTTTACATAATACATATCTTTACATAGGTTTAAACAAAACTTTAAATGCATATTTAAAAATAAATACATATTTCATAACACATTATAGCATTATTAGAAGCATATTTTGAGGATTTTTTGTGCATATAAATCCGGTCCCTACTTATTATAATGAATTGTTTATACAATACAGGTACAGAGCTTATTTTTTTTTTTTTAACAACAATTCATTGAATGGTATTTAAATGAAAAGTAAATTTTAAATAAAATTATTACTAAATTATTAAGATTAACTCTTTGATGTACAGTTGATTTGGTAAATCATTTATTAAACGAATATGATATTTACAATGCATTTGCAGAAAAATTTAACTAGGGCTCATTAGAAATGTTACAAAATGTAGAAATATAGCTTTTAGATTTATTATAATATGTACTATTAAACATTTATAATACCTACATTATGAAAAATATAAACGTTTGTTACGTGTTTGTTGTGAGCTATACTTACATATTTGTTTTTAAAGTTTTTACAAAATAAACTTTTCAACATTTTTTTGGGATTATAAAACAAGTTTCAGGTTCTAATGATCGGCCACTACTCTAACATTTTTTTTAACTTCATCAATTTTCATCAATTTACTCTTTGATAGAGCTACCTAAAACAGGAAATTGATTGTTATCTGTAGGCAACTTGAAGCTAATTAAATGTCTTAATTGACATTTAATATTTTAATGAAAAATTATTTATTAATTTTAATTTTTTAATACTTGGTTAAAGATTCTGATTATATTCCTTAAAAAACAATTGTTGACTTAAAGATGCAAGAAATAAATTGTTTACACATGTTATAGATTCCAAAATGTTTAACATTTAGATTGCATATTGATGAAAAGGCCATTAAGATGTTCATGTTCTTAGAAACAATGATTTTGCTGATACTGAAACATTTAAATGTGTTGTTTATTATATAACAGGATAATGAAGACATAATTGTTTATAAATTTAAGTGATAGTTAATTGTAATATAATCATAAGTACTTAGCAAAAGACAAGTAGTATAATATATGTTTATCTAGAATAAAAATATTGACAACATACATACGTATATCGGAAAACTTGTCAACCTGAAGTCTTATGGTTACTTAACATATTTTATAAGTAATTTTTTCACACTTCTAAAACAAATTGAAGAGAATTCTGTTAAATATAAATACAGTCAAAATGTGTTTAACAATACAGTCAAGAGTTTTTTAATAATAATTACCTTTCTTTTTTTTCATGTGCAATCTACAAAGTGTATATGATCGAATTTATAGTCTCATGATAATAAATTAAAATGATGTTAATGAGACAATATGCATGCATAACAAATCACAAAACAAGCACTAATAAGGTCAAGAGAAAAATAGCAAAAATTGTATCAAAACGGTTTTGTAAGTTTTTATGTTATTACACCAGTATTTTAAATCTATAAAAAAGTATTTTACATGAAAGTGTATTGTCATTAAATCAACGACAACATGTACTAAATTGTAGTTGTCGTGTTTTTATTATTTATTTTGTTTACATCTACTGATAATTTATCATATAAAATTAGTTATGGTATTCGTCACTGCACATAACAATTTTTGTCATGAGTTAGTTTTAGTGATGACCATAATCGAGATATTTCGATTATGAAAACAATCGAGATATTTCGATTATGAGTAAAATAATCGAATTGTTCTCGAGATCTCAAAATAGTTGGAATGTTGGTTAAATATTATTATTACCTACTAATTTATTTATTAAATAGTAATTGAATTAGAATATTTTTATCTGAACATTTTTATTCATAAACTATACAACACAATATAGATATAACACATTGTAATTTCCAATATTATAGTATATTATAATTATATTTACTTCAGCTTAAACTGTTTATTTTTAGTCATTTCTATATTCATAAATTCATTAAAAATGATGTCCATCGCAATTAAATATTAATATATGGTTATTAATTTATTATCATTCCTGAACTAAAATTTAATTAATAATATAATACCAACAAATTAAAAAACAAAAACAAAATTAGATTGTTTATTTATTATAATATAAAGTATAAGTAGGTATGTTCATGTTTGAATATTTCGAGTATTGTTTTTGATTCTCTCTAAAAAATTATTAAAAATAAATGATTATTCTTATCAAATGAATAAATTATTTTAAATTTCGAGTGATTTTTTGAGAGAATCTCTCGATTATCGAAATTATTCGATTATTCGATTACGCCCATCAGTAATTAGTTTGGGAATATAATCTAAGATCGTAGTTTGGGAAATTGGAAACTTTTTATCGTAAAAACACTGACGACGGACGCTCGTTTGGTATCCTGTAAATTTTAATTCGTTCTACGTTCTTCAATTAGCCGTCATAGTGAAAGATACTGACAAATTGCCACGTATTTTGTTTTGCTTGTCGTCTTGTCGTGTTTACTGTTTATTCGTTAAGCGTCATCATCTAGTGATTACGTAGTTACCGCAGCGGCGCAGCTCGTAACGTCTATTTTAGTAAGTTGCTAAATAATTATTATAAGCAAATCCACACATTAATATTAATTAAACATTTTATGGTAAAATATGTAATATAATATTAAATCACCGTTGTCATATGCGTACTTTTATGTCTGCCGTGTTTTTTTTACTACTAGCTTGAGTACCTGCAACTTAACCTACCATAGTTGGGTGTTATTAGATGAGTCAATCTTCATCTAATTAATATCATAGTTACTAAATTTAATGAATCACAGTTAGACATAAATGGACTTTTATTAATGCGTTATGTTTTTAGAGAAATTCAGTATACATTTAGTAAACATGTATCAAATCGGTGAAATTAGTATTATTGCTCGTTATAAGTGTTTTGAAAGATAAAAAAATGGGTGTCGGGAGGTCTTAGAATCTAATTTTTTCATCCAATTTGCCGTTACTGCAAGGAAGTTAACGGCCTAGATAAGCTGTAACCATGACCATTGTGCACGTTTGCATGATTGTTTGAGAACCCAACTCGTTATCTATTAGATTGGACGTAGCGGTCTACATAAAGATCAACGCCTTACCCCATTATCACTCACTATCTTGCATGTATCGCTTCTTATCATGGTTGCATGAATTTTACCACTTCTACCACTTTCTTTATTTTCATTGACAAATTACAAATCAATCGTGTGCTAATGACCCCTACTAACTGGTGGTCATTGAATCATTTTTTTGATGTATCATGTAAATATTTCACGTTTTTTATCACTAACCGGTCGTCACAATTACATTGTCCAATCACCTCGAGCCAAATATCTGACCCAGTTCATAGCAATTGGGATTTTCAATCGTTTTCACTATGATTATTTATATTACTATTTAACATGCAAGATAAATGCTTAAAAAAATCTTGGACCTGTTGAGAAGAACAAAGTAATAATATTTTTCAAATAAATGATTAACACCAAGTTGTAAATAATTGTATAAGGTACATCGTGTATACTTTATTCATAGTATTTTATAGTTAATATTTTAAGGTGGGAGAGGATAGTGGTCAAAATTAAAAATTTTAAATATCAACACAATCTTACCTAGGGAACTATATACATATGTCGTTAATTAGATAACAATTAACGATCGAATATTACCTTTACACATTGTGTATTTTTATACTTTGTTCATATTTTAATGTACTTAAATAATATTTTTTATGATGTCTAAGTCATTAGGTAATTACATGATCGTAATATTAGATAAAACTTAAGTTAATATTATTTATATGATATAAATAAAGCGAATTAATTCAAAAAATATACATATTACATTTAATTAGTGTAAACAAAGATGAAATGTAGTTGTGTACTATACATTTTTGTGTACAGTATACATGATTAACTAAATTGACACTGGTAATTTTTTACTTAAGTTCTAATGTATAATTCCCATTAATACTATATATTTTAATCTGATATATATATTTTTTTCAGATTTGGTATATTTTTCATTGAAAAATATGGACGATAAATCATTTTTAAGTAATAAATTACTAACCCCAAAAAAAGAGCCATGTACAAAACCATTTGAAAAGCAAGTTAAACGCCGAGGGCGTCGTATAATGGTGTCTCAAGAAACATTATTTTGTCCTCCATTTATGGTTAGATGCGACAATAATCGAGCATATTTTAACTATTCTACTTTATGGGCATGTAGAATTTGTACTAAAACATTATTAAGTAAAGCTGCTGCTATAAGTCATGCGGCTAAATGTAAGCTAACAATTACTAAAGAAAAAGATATTCAAATTGCAGATTTAGAGTAAGTTTAAGTGAACATTTCTATTTATTAGTTGCAATTACAATTTTACAATTTAAAAAAAAAAAATTATTAACATTTTAATTTTACAGGAACATGGAAAAAAACATGTGTTATCCGTGCAAATATTGTGATAAAAAAATGCGGAGAAAAGTTAATTGGCTTAAGCATTTGAACGAACATGAGACACCAGAATATGATGAAAATAAATGGGGAGTTAATAAATCTATAAACAAATTTAAACTACCAGACCAAGTTGTTTCCACGTGTATAAAACAGGATTTTGATTTATCATATCCTTCTACTTCTAAGTAGTTGTATTAACTACATTATGATGTTTCATGAATTTATTTACATATTTTTAACAAGTTGATTACCAAATTTTATTTTAAAAATCTTTCATTATATACCATAAGTATCACCCGTGACTTACACAATGTCACAATGCCAGCCCCTAAAATAGTACGTACTACAAAAATTGAAGTGTGCAGTACGAAATTTAAAAGTGTGCCTTAAAGAATATTTATTTTGATAAAATATTATAGCGTTATTTTAAAATCATTGATTTATTTTTAAAAGAGTAAATATTACAGTAAATTACCTAAATCAATTTTTCTTTTTGATTAAATTAATATCAATTTAATTTTGTTTGCAGTTACCTATATAATAATATATTTGTATATATTGTTATTCAATTATTATACGTTTTTGATTAAAGAATCCATAAGTATTGGTGTTAGTTTTTAAATTTAAATTTGGCCGATTCTGGACTATGTGTGTAGTACGAAAGTTTAGTTATTTTAGGGGCTATTTACTGCTGTACTATAGACTTTTAAAAAATACTTTCCTTGTGTACCAAGGTTATATATTTGGAACCTTTTGCTATAGGAAATAATTGCAATTATAAAATATATTTGAAATGTCATGACTCATGAATATAATGAATATCTCATTTTGTTATTGAGTGGTGGGGTTAGAAATGTTAAAATACAGCATTTTATTTCTGTATAATACCGTATTATACCATTATTATAGTAGTATTATATTATACCATATTAAACTTTGTAGTATCTTAAATTATCGGAAATTCCCTAAATCTTTACTAAGATTTACATAATACCTACTACAATTAATACATTTTTTCTGTTGTCATTCGTTGTCTTTTTAGAATTAAACAAAAGTAAATTGTCTATTTCATTTTTTAATAACCCCTGTAAAAATTCTTGTCTAAATTCCGATGTTTGTATGTTTTTATGAGTAACTTCTTTATAGAAAATTAATGCACAATATTCAATAGTAATTGGAAAGCCAATTTATAATAGCACCAATTATTTTCCTGAGGAGACTAAAGTAATTAGACATCTGATTCGATAAATCAATATCTTGTATGTTTTTTTTAAATATAACAGATTCAGGTATTTTTATATCTTCAACCTTCCTATTTTTTTTTTACCAGTATTTACAATAAATTTCAATGCCATGTTTTGTAGATACTAACTTTACATGTCGTTTATATCTCCAGTTACTAATTACAACACCATGAATATTTTCTTTGCCTACTATATTTCCTTTTTATAGTTTTGCATTTTATCTTTAGGACAATTTTTTACATTTTTTTTTTCAAAGTGCCACCAATATGAATGTTATGATCTAATAAAATATGAGCCACAAGTAAGCTTGTAAAGAAATTATCAACTATCAAAGTTCGTCCTTCATTTAAATAATTTTCTAAGAATGACATTATAACTCTACCAGCATTTGAAGAACTAGTATCTTAATTATATAAGTTTTTTCCAGAATAAAAACACTTAAATCATATGTTTACCCCACACTGTCGCACAATTTATATAGTTTAATCCTATATTTTGCAGCTTTGTTAGAAATGTGTTGTCTAAATATTATTTAGGTATAAGCGTTTCGTCGAAAATGGTGCCCCCCGAACAAAATAAAAAATAAGATATTATAACCAGGGACATATGTAAGGGGAGCCCTTTAGGGCCCGTGCATCCCCCATTCAGTGTTTTTTATATATTTTTTTTCATAATTGAGAGTATCGAGGTACCTGAGTTGCATCCCGTGAAAAAAGTGTACACGAATTGCGTTCCATTGTATTGGTTAGGTAATAGAAATTTTATTTTGTTTTTAGGTGTTCTCCGTGGTGTATTAATTATAAGGGATCCTGAGGTCTGATATTATGTTTCGAAAATAAAATAAATTATGATGATGTTAGTTAGAAGCTCACTAATTTTTGTACGTAAATATAGAATACAACGCCGAAACAACATTTTATTTGTTGGAAATCAAATAGAAAAACTGAATGAAAGTAAAATAACAGGGTTAGATTTTGTAAAAAGTTTATCTAATAAGTATAAACCTAATTTTTGATTGATAACATTATTATTATTATTATTTATTTATATATTTTGTTATGGACTAGATTGATTTTGATTAAATCTAAGTGATTTAACGTTTAAATGTTTTTTATTACATTTAATAAACGAATTTTTAATTGAATTGTGATTATATTTATAATTGTTGTTTATTTATTTATTTATTTTTTTAGTTTAAGAATCCTTGATTAAAATACACGAATTTCGTCCTGGATTTTTTGGGACGCAAATCATGTGCTCTCGAGATTATTAACCTTTTGGGCAACTAGTGGCTTGCGAATCTGATTTATCTGATGACCATTTTTTTTGTTAGCTTACTTTCTATGCCTCTGGCTTATTTACATTTTTTACTTTTGGGTAGTATATTTGGCAAAATTTTAGACAGTGTGCGTCCTTCCTCAAAACTAGAAACTATTTTATGAAGAAATATCAATATAGGGGTTCTGAAGTCATTAATGGCCAATAGTATATTACTATTTTATTATATGTGCCATCCTTGGAAAATTTTGGGATCAGCCCCTGATTTAAGGCTGACAGAATTTTGTCTAAATTCATTTTACTTCAATTATATTTTAAATTATTAACTAACTATACTATCTTCAAACTTAACAAGATGAACATAATGAAAATATTTATAATTTGTAATTTAATTGTCAATTATTTTGTATTAATGAATTGATAAATATTTAGTTTATCATTAAATTTGTTTTTAATAAAAACATTTGAAACGAAAGTATTTATTTATACCTAATTAAAAATAGACATTTTTTTGGATACTGAATTCTACATAATCTTAAAAAAAAAACGAAATACCTCTGAGAGTCACCCGCTTATCACACAGTATAGAGGTACTGACGATCTGTGAGTCACTCGTGGACATAATCAGAGTTTGTCAAAATTAGTTTTAGTACACAATGGTACAACGGATGTAAAACACTCATGATACTCATAGTAGCCAACGTTTAATAATTTTATCTTATCATTATTAGATACACCATAAATCATAATCAAGCTTCTAAATTTAATTTTATTTACTGCAAAGTAAAACTATTCATAAAGTAAATTTTTCCTATAAAAACTCTTAATAAAATAAAATAAAATTTAACTACCTATACATTTAGTACTAATTAATTAATAAAAAGAATATTTTGATTAATGATTAAAAAAAAAAAAAAAAAATGTATGCGTTAAAAATGATACGTTTTTTTTGTAACGCGTTTATTTGCGTGTTTTAGCGTGTAAGTCTCTTAATACCTCACTTACAGATGTTTTTAAATTTTTCAGATGTCTAATAAAGAGATGGCCTTAGATAGTGTACAAACCTTGAGTTTGTCCGCCGGACAAGCCGCAAGGAAATTTAATGTGGCAGAAACCACCTTGCGTGGCCACCTTAAGAGGTTGGGTATTGTCCTCAAGCTTGTAAGCATTATATTTTTTTCTTCCATTACATGTCAAATTACTGTGTTTTTATAAACGTGTAGGGATCTAGATCATATGTCAAAGCCTCGGAAAACCCAGGTTTGGCATTGGCTCTACATCTCATAACGGTTGAGAAGATGTCGGTCAATAGAGCGTCTCGAGAAACCGATACCCCATTAGCCACAATACGTGCTGCATTAAAAAATTATGAGAGATATCAAACGTAAGAAAAATTGTTTTAAACGTGTTTATCAATTTGTTTTATTAACATATTTTTGAATTTCAGATACGCTTCCACCACCATGTGCCCCGCAAAAAGGTGTTAACCTTTTTTGCATCGTTGGCCAGGTGGTCGGCGTGGGCAAAGGTGGTGGCGCCGCAGTTGACATCGCGGAAGACGTGGCTGAAGTTGCGTCAGTTGATGTCGTGGAGGACGTAGCTGTGGATGCCGCAGTTGATGTGGAGGACGTGGCTGAGGGTGCCACAGTTGATGTGGAGGACGTGGCTAAGGACACCGCAGTCGATGTCGAGGAGCACGTGCCAATAACCATCGATAGAGGTAAAAATAATATTTTAATATTGTATTCTTCTCTGTTTTTACTATTTTTAACTCGACTTTTGTTTGTTTTTCAGACGTGCTGGTATTTAGTAAAAAGGGTAAATATAAAACCATGTCCAGGCCCATGGTGGTACACAGCCGGCGAGCATAGTAACAAGGTTTGTGTGTAGCGCGTCGTGCTCTCCCGAACATATTTAACCGTTTATAATTTTTCAGCTCTCCAGCCTTTGGAGGAAAGTCACCTGCGCCTTAGCAATCCAGGTCCTGTGGGCGTCCAAACAACGTTCCGGGGTGGCCGTCAACATAATGCTGTGTGAGTGGGAAAAACGGAAGTCCCACTGCACTAGAACCGTAGTAACGGTCACTGACCACAAAATGGGCAACGTGGAGCCGGCCACCATCGTTTTGGACGAAGAAATTACTGAATTAATGGAAAGGTAATGGATTTGTAAAGATAGTTAATTTGCGTAATCGGACACTTATTCTTGTCTTCTGTTAATAGATATTACAGGCTCAGACTGAGAACGGGCTATGAAAAGCCCAATTTCTTCATTACGAACTGGGGAGAAAAATTAGTAAAAATATACGACGACCTGAACAAAACGTTTGGGTCGAAGCTGTCGGCAAACATATTCCGTCGAATGATAGAGACAATGGGCTGGGACCTAGACACTGCAACGTCCTCGGGCGTAGTGAAGGCGTTACAGCATTCCGAAACGACAGCTAATAAATTTTACCGAGTACCGGACACAACGGAGGCGTTGCGGCGGCAGTGTGAATACGGCACAGATGCGGTCGGCACAGTTGCGGTCAATACCTTTTTGGTGGCACTTGCGGTCACTATTTTTTTTTTACACATATTTACTGGTTTTACAATACTGACATAGGTAATCATAATAAAGTTAAACCTATTACGTACAGCGTCACACAATATAAAATTAGAAAAC